GTCTGAGAGTATATGATGCATTGTTTTTTTGTTGTTTTGCATTTTCAAGTCAAGACAAGAAAGTATTTGGTAAAATAGCCTTTGAATTGAAAATACAGAAAAAAATGCTCAAAACAAACAGGAAGAAATGGGCCAGGTTGTCCAATGCCAATATTGTTTTTCCATTTTTTTAAAAGGTAAAGATGTTTAACCAAAATATAAGCGGATGTCTGCAGTGAACGCAATTGCTCTCAATATTCAATGTGGGTATAACTATTAACAACCACGGGACCTTGAAGAAGAATTAAAATAATCCGTAGATTAGCTCTGGATAAAATAGAGATAGATCCCGAGATTCACAGAACAAAAGTTCTAATTTTAGTTGTATTATAAAGCAAGGAAAGGTCAGTTTTGAATATTAAACAAGAGATGTGTCACAATATGCAAGAATTTATGGAAAATCTTAAAAATATTGTTAAACATTTCAACAGTTCTAAATGAGACAGTTTCTATTGCTCTACTGATAATTGATAAGAACGACAAAGTGTCCAAAATAAATTGAACACATATTAAATTTACAACGCATACGAAGAAATTGAGTCTTTGCCTCAAACTCAAATTTGTTAGAGTACCTATATTTTTGTAACCTGATGATGTAAGCCTGTGATATTTCAAACTTAGATTATTTGATCTAAAGAATTAATAGTTTTAAATATCTAAAGTCTACTGCAACATGGGCTGCAAAAGAAATAGAAAATCTGAATTTATGGCAAAGACTCAATATCTTTATCAAAAATGTTCAGCTATTTTTGTAGATTTCAGAATAAAGAAAAGGAGAACTGATGAGAGAGTGTATATATTATATATATCTTGAACTAGAGAATGGATCCCCTTATCTAAGTTTTACCACTTTCCAAAGGTTCGATAACGTTTATTTAATGTTATTTAAAGAGACTGTACTATAAATGCAATTTCAAGAAGACATATATGTTTATCCCTTATTTCCAAAATCTGCACGATTTCTCTCTAAAAGTGACTTGCGGATTTATATAAATGCAACAGAAACTAGAAAGAAAAACATTACAGATTTATCGAAGCTTTTCTATAGTGTAGGCTTTTAACTCTTTTACTGGAGGGGTATTTGAAATTACATCTAGAGTCTCTTAATAAATCTAAATTTTAAATAGTACAGTGTCGGCTACAGAGATCGATTAACACCTATAATATGCGATATTTTCCACAGCATGTTCTTGTGTACAAGTACTGTACACGACCAATCAGGAGACATCTGTACTCAGGGATATTTAAGGCTCCTTTGAATAGGAAATGCAAAATAGACAATATTCATAAACGTTATGTGTTATGTTAAAAAATTTGAGTATTTCTTTAAAAGTTGTAAAACTGAAAACCTGAATGCAACAAGTGACCGTCAGATGTCAGTCAAAAAACATTACATGGAACCAATCCAGGTAGAGTGTATGATGCAGTCTGTGTAGTCTGTTGTCGGGTACCATGAGATACATTGTTAAAGAATCTAGTCTGCCATACCAACTTAAATTTATTAATCCCAATATCTTTGAAACCTGATTTCTTGATCTTACAGAATTCATAGTTTGAAATATGCAAGGATTATGACCAGGATGACCAATGGCAATATAGTAGCCTCTGAAGAATTATTTGTATTAGATGAATCGTATATTTGCTTATTTGCCACAAGTTGTCACTAAAAGTAAAAAGTGCTTTCTGAAAGTTTTTCCTTTGGGAAATATTCTACAAACTTTGAATTTGGTAAAAAACGGTTGCCATCGAATAAAAATAGTAATCCTACATTGATCTACTGACTGGATATCCATGCTTGGAACTTATCTAATTATATATTTTTCATTTTTCAAACTCACAACATTACCAAACATTTTTTTTTAGATTTCAATAATCAATATTTATTAAAAAAAAAATCCTTTGTGTTCCGAAAAAAATGTGATTTACATAAATGTTACATTTACTTACAGCATAGTCTCAAATTTAACTTTTTTATTATTTCAATTATATTTGAGACTATGCTGTAAATATTGTGTTTTTGAATGTTTGATGTTATCAAACTTTTAAATATTTCAATCTCCTGAATTTCAAATGCCAAGCTTTTTTTTACTTAAAGGTTTAAAAAATCCAATTTTATCAATTTTAATTTAATAAAGTTTCCCAAAACTATGATTATTGAGGGAGGAGTTCGACTTGAATATCGTTTGTTTTAGATAGAAAAATAAGAACGTGTTCTTCATTCTCGAAAAGAAAAGTCTTTAAAGGGTACCGTTGTGAATCGGGCACGCTGGATTATCTTTTATCTTCAAATCACGTGGAGGGTCTCTATTTATTTTATAATTTTAATCTCCTGTTCAGCGAAATAACCAACCTTAAATTCCCTCCTTTTTTAATTCCAGGGAGGATAATTACTTATCCTCCCTTTTTACAGGGAGGATAATTACTTATCCTCCCTCTTTACAGGGAGGATAATTACTTATCCTCCCTCTGTGATCGATACAGATTTAATTCAAGATTTAGATCAAGAAATTAAATATTCTTCCATATGCACTAGTAAGAAATAAGAGAATTAAAATCATAATTGATAGTTTATGATTTCATTATTATTTTATCCCCCACGGTTGGTTATTTCGTTGAACAGGAGATTAAACGATAAATTACTACTTAACCGGGAGTTTTCATGAGGATAATTAAATTGAGGGGAAAACGCTCGTGAGGTTTAGAACCCCATAAAGGTCTTGGAGGCCCTCGGCTAAGTGGTTTTCCCCTCAATTTAATTATCCTCCCTTAATCTCCCGGTTAAGTAGTAATTAATAGTTATAAAAAGTACTGATTCTAATCTAATCCTTAAATTAAACTCGAAAGATCAGGTTTCACCAAATGAGAAAACTTTCAGAAAATACGTTTGAGAAAATTGATTAGAGATCTTTTTAACTTTCTTAAAGGGACTGTAAAGGAAAAATAAAAGGGGGTATAGGCTGAAAGCTAATCACTTTAGCTCTCGATCGCGACCCATGAAAGTTATATCTGATGTTCCTATAATGAGAAATTGATTTACAACTTTGTCAAATTTATGCGAAAATTAAAATATATACAATTTTGTATAAAAGTAGTGGGTTTAGAAAGATCAAATTTGGCCAGAATTCGAGGTGTATGAGAACATGGGGGCTTATACCGGTCTTCCTGATGCCCTTTTCGTGAGCAGAAATGTTGATCCAGAGGTTGGGGTTTTTTTTTCGCAAGAGCTTGTCTCAATGATCAGGGACTGGCATTCAAAGGGTGAAAAAGGGGGGTTTGTTAACACCATCCCTCTGCCTGCAGAACTTGAGAGCGCGATTCCTACCGGCCCCGACGGTCAGCTCACCTCACCGGAGGATGATTTTAATTGCGGAAATAACTCCTTGTCCAGCAAAAACCAGCGCGTTGTGGTCGTCGGTAATAGCAACCTCAAAATGATAAGTGAGGAGCTAGGCAAGACCATTAAAGACACCGTTGTCTTCGTCAAATATCCTTTCAATATTTTTGCGAATTCCTCGGAAATTTCGGAATTTGTTGACAATCTCAAGTTGACGAAAGCCGACGTCTTAGTACTCGGAGGTCAAGGAAATTCACTTTTGCAAGGGATGGCAACTCCCAAATTCAAGAAACATTCTCCGTCCGGGTTACCTGCAGGTTTCTCAACGTTTGGAGCTGGTAGACAGAGAGTCTTCCACGCTCACAACGTGGCTAGCTACGATCCAGAGTATTTCGACAACTTCGGGGTTTTTATTGACAAAATCATGGGTTTTGTTAACCAGACCGGCGCCAAGACAGTTTTCATACCACCCTTTCCAAGGTACCCTACAGCTTGCTGTACACAGTCAGGCCATTTTTGCGCGGGGTATGACGGGAACCTCTTTAACGCGGAGGTAGTAAGACTTGGGACTTTCATCTCACGAATGTACTCCCTCAAGGATGCATTTGTACTTACCCCCGAGGATTTTTGTCATCGCGATGACTGGGTCTCGAGAGGGAAGATGCTGAAGGATGACCGTGTACACCTGTCTGACAAGGGAGTCCAAGTGGTCCGCAGTTTAATCCAGAGATGTTATCATTTCTGGACGGTAATGGACAGACCTAAACCAACCCTAGGCCCCTCCATCCCATGCGGCACCAGGTTCTCCCAGTGGGTCGAGGCGCATAGAGAGGTCTGTGGGTTTGAGGATTTGAAGCCCTCAGGTGCCGCGAAGCGCTCGCAGCCGCCCATGTCATATCAGAGGCAATCAAAGCGATAAAGTCTTTTCTCTGAATGTCCACAGCATAAGATCGAAACCATGCACAGTCCCCCCCCCCTCATATGGGTACCCCCTCCTTTTCAGCTGAACCATGGTTGTCTCTCAGGTTTCGTCTTTTCCTACACACCTCATCCACCTTCCACCTCCCTTTCCTATTTCCCATAACTCATCCTGTTCCTATCCCAGATTCCAACTTTAATCCTACTCCCATCACATACATTTAAACTTTTAATCCTTAAAATAAAAAACTCCTTTTTAATCCTATAAAATATTTCCTATTTTTGCTGACTTACGGTACTTCATGTCAGTTTTGCTCAATTCTTTAACTCCTAGTCAGTATTTATATAAATGTATTTAAAAAATACACTTAAACTGTTAATCCTTAAAATAAAAAACTCCTTTTTAATCCTATAAAATATTTCCTATTTTTGCTGACTTATGGTACTTCATGTCAGTTTTGCTTAATTCTTTAACTCCTAGTCAGTATTTATATATTTAAACTCTTAATCCTTAAAATAACAACACCTTTTTAATCCTTTATTTCCTATTTTTGCTGACTTATTTACTATCTGTCAGTTTTTGCTTATCTCTTTAACTCCTAAACAGTATTTATACAACTGAACTTTTAAGCCTTAAAATAACAACACCTTTTTAATCCTATATTTCCTGTTTTTGCTGACTTATTCACTATCTGTCAGTTTTTATGAACCGCTCTTTCACCACCGGAAACAATTCTACAATTTCCATCCTTTAGATTTCTTTTTTTAAAACCTATACAGGTATTTTTAAAAACCGCAATTTTTTGTAATATAGTTAGACGAGAAGCCATCAGGTCCTGAACGCTGGAGACAAAAGGTTCTGCATCACTGCGGATCTCAGATCTGCAAGTTACTACACAGATAGTCACGGTAAAAAAAGATTAAGCGGACGTTTATAGTTTTTACGAAGGAAGAAACAATTCTTTAATGTTAACTGTAAAAATTTAATTATGAGAATATAAAATTGATCTCGATATCCAATGTGGGCACAATTTATTTATGAGAATAAATGATTGATCTTGATATCTAATGTGGGTACAGTTTAAATATGATAATATATGATTGATATCGATATCCAATGTGGGTACAGTTTAAATACGAGAATATACGATTGATTTCGATATCTAATGCGGGTACAGTTTAAATATGAGAATATATGATTGATCTCGACATCTAATGTGGGTACAGGTTAATTCTGAGAATTTTGATGCCTCTATTCATTCAGTTGTAAATTACTCCTGACAGTATAATCCGGCGGGTATAGTTTTTACGAAGGAAGAAATAATTTTTTAATGTAAACTGTACAAAAGAACCGTTCTTTCACCATTGAAAATAATTCTACAATTTCAGCCTTAAGATTTCTTTTGTATTTTTCTTTTAAACCTATACAGGTATAATTTAAATTTGTAATATAGTTAGACGAGAAACCTCCAGTACCTGAACGCCAGAGGATCTGGGAGACCCCAGAGGATCTGGGAGACCTCACAGCTGTAATCCTCGGTGAAGAATAACGGTAAAAAATTATAATTCCAAAGGTCCCTGTGAATACTGGATCCTCTACATCATTAATAAGTTCTAGACCTTTTATCATACAGAGAGCAGGGGTGTGCACACGGACCATTTTGGACTGTAAATATTGAAACTTTTGAACTGAAACTGACGTAAAAGTACTCAATAGAATTCTAAGATCTTAAATTATGTAAACTCACTCCAGGTTTAGATCTACAATGTTAATTTTTCAAAGGTTAATTTCATAACTTCAAAAAAAAATTTATTTTTTTCTAAATGGTAACTCCAGAATTAGAACTCCATCAACATGCTTAATTAAAACCCCGACAGACTCGAATTTTTTCCTTTCGTCATGGTTCTCTCTTTACCTAGTTAAACTGAAACCTGGAGGACGAATGAGCGGTGAACCTCAGAGAACCTAGTGGATCCTACAGCTTCATCTCTCAGCACATAATAACGGTAAAAATTCGTTAAATAGTTGTATTAAATATATGTGAACAATTTTGTACAATTAATATAATCTCGATACGGAGATAATAAATATCTAGATCTCAAAAAAAAAATCTTAACATATGACGATCTTCAATTCTGAACATATGACGATCATCAATTCTGAACATTTGACGATCTTCAATTCTGAACATATGAACATCTTCAATTCTGAGCATATGACGATCATCAATTCTGAGCATATGACGATCATCAATTCTGAACATATGACCATCTTCAATTCTGAACATATGACGATCATCAATTCTGAACATATGACGATCTTCAATTCTGAACATATGACGATTATCAATTCTGAACATTTGACGATCTTCAATTCTGAACATATGACGATCTTCAATTCTGAACATATTACGATCTAAAGTTCACATTAAATCTTCTGCCTTGAAGTTAGTCTTTTAATGAATTTTTAATGGTTGGGAAAACCCCCACACAGGATGAGACTTCAAAGACTAACAGAATTTTTAACTTTTTTTGGTATATCAGGTCGTCTTCACAATCTTATTCTTTGTGAGTACCCCTGCAGTAGTTTTGGAAATTTTTAAAAAGATTTAAAGCAATAGAAAAAGTTATGATCGAATAGATTGCAGATTAAATTAAATTAAATGTTAGAAAATTAGATTAGATCAGATTAGATGCGATTAAATTAGATTAGATTAGATTAGATTAGATTATATTAGATTGGATTAGATTAGATTAGATTGGATTATATTAGATGGGATTGATTAGATTAGATTAGATTTGATTATATTAGATTGGGTTAGATTAGATTAGATTGGATTATATTAGATTGGATTAGATTAGATTTGATTGGATTATATTAGATTGGATTAGATTAGATTAGATTGGATTATATTAGATGGGATTAGTTTAGATTAGATTAGATTGGATTATATTAGATTGGATTAGATTAGATTAGATTAGATTAGATTAGATTGGATTAGATTAGATTTTATATTAGATTGGAGTATATTAGATTAGATTGGAGTATATTAGATTGTATTATATTAGATTATCCGGAAAGAGAACTAGGGACAAATTCCGTAAAGGCTAACAAGAGACAAATTCTGAAAAAAAAACTCCGGGCGAATCCAGAACTGCATACAAGAAAAGAATTCCGGATAGACATACTTGAGAAGAATTCCAGAAAGGCAAATCAGAGACAAATTCCGGAAAACAACTCGTCGTGAATTCCGGAACGGCATACTAGAGAAGAATTCCGGAAAGGCAAATCAGAAACAAAATTCGGAATAAATTCCGGAAAGGCATACCAGAGAAGAATTCTGCAAATACATTCCGAAAAAAAATTTCAGAAAACAACTCGGGACAATTTCCGGAAATACAAACTAGAAACAAACGCAAATAACTCGGGACGAATTCCATAAAGGCGTACTTTTTAGGTTTTGATAGTTATGTCTTCATTTTTTTGGAAAACTTTAAATTTTTTTCACAGTGTTAAAAATATATTTGTAAAACGATTTTACAGATAAATTATTTTAAAAAAAGATATTCAGTTTGGCAAGATCTACACCCCAACTGCAATTGAGAAATTAGGTTTTGAAATAAAATCTCCCCCCCCCCATGGCTGTCACGGCTAATCAGTGTGCACAGTGTCACTTAAAGGGAGCGACCGGCCATGTATAGTAGTTGAACTGAGAATGTAGTACTGTGAGAAATGTTTTAGGAATCATTTGAGACGTTTTTACGGTGAATATTTGTTTAGTAAGAGCGCAAATTAAATCTTTAAATCCTCATAAATTGTTCATTTTTGAGGGATGATTTGAGAATCGGTTTTTTAAAAATTATTAAAAGACGACAAATGAAAAATTTAGTAACAATCGTACTGTAAGCTAATTAGTTTTGCAGGAACAGGTTGAGAAAATAATAATTAGTTATTATCATTGAAAAAAGTAATCTTTTTCAGTTATTGGTTTCTGTAATGTTTCATTGTTCACAATCATTTTCTGTAGATTTTCTGGAATTTTTATTGAAAAGACGACATTTGAAGATTCCGCAGAAATCTGCGAACAAATTCATGAAGAACAAGAAATTCAATATAAATGAATCTGCAATGCAACAATCTCAGTTCAACTACTTTATATTGCCGGTCACTCCCTTTAAGTGATTCAATTGATTCAATTACTGTGAGTAAAGAAGATATTTCTTGCTTATTGCACATGCACTTGCACATATTAAATTTACGGAACGTCATGTGTCAAAATATTTTTGATTTATCTATTTTTGATTTAAATTGGGTTGCCCTGCTAGGCCGGCCAACAAGGCCCCGACCTAATTTAGCGGAGTTAAGAGGGATTAAAAAGATAGGAAATAATGGAGAGAAAGTGAGAAAATTGAGAATTAAAAAAAATCATTTTAACAAAAATTAAAATGTTTGATAATTTCATTTTTCGTGATTTGATTGAAATTTCTGTTGTTTAAAGTCTGGTTTGATGATTGCGAATCTTTGCCTGATCTTCTTTTTTAATTCTTAACACATTTAGACAATAACTAATAGTCTTGATACAGGAAGACTTGAAGATTAACAGTGATCGCTTAGACCCTATCCTCCTGTCTGCTCAGGAATATCCTTTGTCTACAATTAAGGGAAACTTAACAGTCCCAATAAATTCTAATTTTCTCATTCTGGCAACTTTGTAACCCCTGATGTCGGTGACTCCAGATATTTCAAACTATAGGACTTTTTTTAGATAAAACACTCAAAGTTTGAAATATGACAGGTTTACACTCCAAGTTTTAAAGGGTTACACGCCTTAGGTTTCAAAGGTTTACATTCCAGGTATTAAAGGGTTACACGCCTTAGGTTTCAAAGGTTTACACTCCAGGTTTTAAAGGGTTACACTCCAGGTTTCAAAGGATTTTTCAAAGGTTTACACTCCAGGTTTCAAAGGATTACACTCCAGGTTTCAAAGGAAAAGAAATAAGAAAGTTTTTTTTGTTGATTTTAATTCGTAACTGTAGATAAAGTAAACATAAACTCTATCCTCTAATCTTATTCATTATTCAACTTTAGTGATCAGATTGATTCTACCCATGTACATATTTCACTGTCTTTCTTTTAAATACGATTGCAATACAAACAATACACAATGATTAATGTTAATGTTTTCAAGGCATTTAACTTCAGATTTGAATATAATGAAAAGTATAAAGTACGCTGGAATGATTTTAAATTTATACAAGTTGTATTCTGTTTGGTGTATCTCATAGTTCATGACTTGAAAAGAAATACAGGTGTTAAATACTGTTTAATATATGTGAACTCTACATTTATAGACAATATTCTGACTAAACACACTTTTTTATTCAATTCTCAAGGACAGTGCAGTATACTATGCAGCAGAACAGCAGTACAATAGTACGGCATTATAGAATTACAGCAGTGCAGCAGTGCAGTAGTGCAGCAGTGCAGCAGTGCAGCAGTGCAGCAGTGCAGCAGTGCAGTAATACAGCAGTGCAGCAGTTCAGTATTGCAGCAGTGCAGCAGTGCAGCAGTGCAGCAGTGCAGTAGTGCAGAAGTGCAGCAGTGCAGCAGTTCAATATTGCAGCAGTGCAGCAGTGCAGCAGTGCAGTAGTACAGCAGTGCAAGAGCAGCAGTACAGCAGTACAACACTACAGCAGTGTAGTAGTGCAGTAGTGCAGTAGTGCAGTAGTGGAGCAGTGCAGTAGTGGAGCAGTGCAGAAGTGCATCAGTGCAGCGGTGCAGAAGCGCAGTAGTGTAGTAGTGTAGTAGTGCAGTAGTGCAGCAATGCAGCGGTGCAGGAGTGCAGCAGTACAGCAGTGCAGCAGTGCAGCAGTGCAGCAGTGCAGCAGTACAGCAGTCCAGGAGTGCAGGAGTGCAGGAGTGCAGGAGTGCAGGAGTGCAGCAGTGCAGCAGTGCATCAATGCATCAGTGGAGCAGTACAGCAGTACAGCAGTGAAGCAGTGCAGCAGTGCAGTAGTGTAGCAGTGCAACAGTGCAACAGTGCAGCATTGCAGCAATTCAGCAGTACAGCAGTGCAGCAGTGCAGCAGTGCAGCAGTGCAGCAGTGCAGCAGTGCAGCAGTGCAGCCGTGATGAAGTTTTTATATGAAGTGTGTTTAAATAAGGGGCGATTTCCCAAGGGGGGGGGGTTGCTCCCTGGGCGTCTATGAATATCAAGAGGATTTCTCCGGGGAGGTCAGAGCCTAGGTTATCTTCCCGGGGCGTCTATGAGTTCACCAAAATTCGATTTCCCCACTCTCTCTACTGACGTAGTCGACAATAATCCAGTAGTGGAGCAGTGCAGTAGTGCATCAGTGCAGCGGTGCAGAAGCGCAGTAGTGTAGTAGTGTAGTAGTGCAGTAGTGCAGCAATGCAGCAGTGCAGGAGTGCAGGAGTGCAGGAGTGCAGGAGTGCAGGAGTGCAGCAGTGCAGCAGTGCAGCAGTGCAGCAGTGCAGCAGTGCAGCAGTACAGCAGTGTAGCAGTGCAGCAGTGCAGCAGTGCAGCAGTGCAGCAGTGCTGCAGTGCAGCAGTGCTGCAGTGCAGCAGTACAGCAGTACAGCAGTGAAGCAGTGCAGCAGTGCAGTAGTGTAGCAGTGCAACAGTGCAACAGTGCAGCATTGCAGCAATTCAGCAGTACAGCAGTGCAGCAGTGCAGCAGTGCAGCAGTGCAGCAGTGCTGAAGTTCTTATATGAAGTGTGTTTAAATAAGGAAAAATAATTTAATGCATTCTCAAAAGTTTTAATCAAAGGTTCAAAATTTAGAAGTATTTTTTGAAGATTGTGAAAATAAAATTTATTGAATTATTATGATATTGTTCTAAAGTGCTCTTTGATAAAAATAATTTAATCTCTACTATACATACGAACATACTGCAGTAAGGACCAAAATCTACATTTATAAACCTTGTCTTTATGTTATTTTGTATCCAAAACATTTCAAAACGGCTGAACTGATCGGGTCCAAATTTTGTGTG